TATATATGATACCCCATCATGTAATGCAGCTATCATGCAATGTAGCTATCCTGCAACCACTTGGATACAAAGAATCCAAACCTAACTCAGCTAAAAAAATGTAAAAGACATATCTATAACTTCTATGGGGACAAAATTGCAAGCTTTATGTAGGCGATGATACATAGCTCTAGTATAAATCATGATGAGAATTCCAAAATCACACCTTATGCTGAAGATATATATTGTGTATAACAAGAAGAGAGAACCATTAAACACATACCTGATGCTCACCATTAAGCGGAACCACCTTGAATGAATGCTATAAGGATCCCAGAGATATTCATCCCACAAAGATAGAACTCTGCAACCTTGTCTTCAGCTATGTCTTCAGGATATTTTCTCTTGCAAGCTTCCTGGAAAACCCCATTTTAAGAAAAGGATAATCATAACTTAAATGAAATGAGTGTGTTAACTTCCTATTATGTAACAAAGGTGATGATGTTCATTCATTTGGGTACAATTATACATGTTTTAAACTAGTAGCCTATGTAGGATTTGAACCTACATCTTCTGTGCAATGTGGAAACACAGTGCTCGACCATTTAAGCTAATAGGCTTACAATTTAAACTAGTAAATACTTGGCTATAAACTTCAATCCAAGCAGAAACAATACTAGTCTCATTATCTAATGAGATTTTGAACGTTTCGTATTCAAGGCAGTCTCAAGAAAAGGCCTTGCAACATCCATTAGAGGTATAACTAGTATAAAGGCTTTGGGATGAAGTCATCAAAGGAGAAGAAAAAAAAAAATTAGCTTTTACATGAAACTTCCTCTTTGACACAAAAAAAAAGTCTTGGAAAATAGTCAAATGGACAAAAAATTATTTGTTCATTTGACAAATGAGCAAATAATTGTTTGCTTATTTTTTCTCATTTGATAAATGAGCAAAAAATTATTTGCTCATTTGACAAATGAACAAATAGTTGTTTGCTCATTTTTGCTCATTTGATAAATGAGCAAAACATTATTTGCTCATTTGACAAATGAGCAAAAAATTATTTGCTCATTTGACAAATGAGAAAATAATGTTTGCTCATTTTTGTTCATTTGATAGATGAGCAAATAATTGTTGCTATTTTTTGAAACTATGATCATCTAAAAATTATTTGACAAATGAGCAGAAACGTGTTTGATCATTTGACAAATGAGCAGAAACGTGTTTGATCATTTGACAAATGAGCATAAATTTGTTTGCTCATTTGACAAATGAGCAAAGAATTGTTGCTATTTTTTGAACCTATGGTAATCTGACAGTTACTTGCTCATGGAATCTCACTAACAATTGTCAACAATAAATGATAAAATCGAGTAAAAATCACACATAAAAACCTAATTTACACAAATTAATAGAATTACACAAATGAATTTCAAAGAATGCTATACGAAGAAATTTAGTTGAATTTGAACATTATTATCCAAGCCTAGGTTTGCTAATCTCTCCTTTTCTTTCTATGCTCAACATGAACACAAACCTTATAAAAAAAATACATTGAAATTCATATCCAACAAGCCACCACTTCCACATAACCTCTATTTTCTCATTGCCTCTTAAGATCATAATAATAATGAAAACAAACACAAAAATCGTGAAACTTAAATCGAACAAGCCACAAATTGAAGTTTATCAAATGAGCAAATAATTCTTTACTCGTTTGTCAAATGAGCAAACATTTCTTTGTTCATTTATTAAATGAGCAAACAATTCTTTGCTCATGTATCAAATGAGCAACAATTCTTTGCTCATGTATCAAATGAGCAACAATTCTTGCTCATTTATCAAATGAGCAAACAATTTTTTGCTCATTTATCAAATGAGCAAATAATTCTTTACTCATTTATCAAATGAGTAAACAATTCTCAGCTAGTACAAAGTTCATTGCCTCAATAGGGGTTCCTGAGGCTGTCATAGTTTTTACTAAGGTTGGCAAGACAATAAGCCACCTTATTGCCATTTCAACCTACATGACTAAAGACAACAACAATACTATTTTTAGCTAGCTGAAGAATATATTTGATTATAAAACCAAAATGTGTATTCTCATGTATGTTGTTCTTCAGATGCCTAAACACCTTGATGTTGTCTGTTTCTAACACAATATTTGCCTCCAAAACCAATATGACCACCATTAAACATTGCAGCATCCAAGTTTACCTTATACCAACCCGCCTCAAGCTAGCTAAGCAGCACCCAGATTAACGGTTGATATAGTTTCATTGGCTTTCTCATACTCTCCAATTATGCTCATATAGGCAAAAATGACACAATAATAATGAGCAAAATTGAAACAACAAATTTCATCAAAAAACAAAAATTTCATATAGGCAGGTTATTCATGCAATATATTTAACTAAGACATTAGACAAAAGAATTCAGAAGTTTAACTTCCTTTAGTCTGCCATAATGTATATGCTTAAGTCATTTTATATTTCTCATGATACCCTCAAAACCAATTTGTATAGCATTAGTTATCCTTAGCTTGAGTCATATACTATGAATTAGCATACAGAAAAAGAGGGTCAAAGACTTAATACAACATACCTGCAATTCCCTAGCTAAATCTACCAATTCATCTATATTTTTGTTAGTAACCTATATGTTATATACTTAAATAGTCACTTGCATGTGCCGTTGAACCAACTTTAGATGAGATACATAACATAATTATATTGTTATACTTTTTGATGTGCTAACCAAATTCAAATGAGCAAATTGACATAAAATGAGCAAGCTAAATTCAAATGAGCAAATTTAAATTAAATTGAGCAAACTAAACTGAAATAAAAATGATCAAACAATTCTTTGTTCATCTATCCGTCAAAAATTCACACAATCACAAAAAATACACTAAAGTACTTTGAAAATCATTGATGATTAGAAAAATTTACCAAAATTTCAAAAACCTCAACCAAAATGAGCAAAAATTATATCAGAATCTCAGATAATTGCTCCATACTATTATCACATGATACAAATTACCAAAAATCACATACCAAAGTAAACCCTAGAAAATCATGAAATCATCCAGAATAACCAAAAGAGAAATACTATAATCACTAAAAAATTGATAAAGGGTACAAAAATAAAAAAAATAAAAAAAAAAATCAATAAACTGGTACTTACATTCTTCGTTAATAAGCAACAATAGCTTTGGTTGAAACCATTTGATGAAGAAATCGCGATTTCTAGGGTTTCAACAAAATCACAAAACCTAATTCAAAAGAATTCACAAAAACAGAACAACCTAAATCAGTCGAATTTAATGAAAATTATCATTGAATTATTGAAAAACTTATTCGAATCTAAATAATCTTGCTGAATTTGATAAAGAAGATGAACTTTTCAGGGATTTGCTTTGATAAACTAGAGAGGGGACAAAGAGAAAGATTTTCAAACTGCTAATTTCTTTTAGAGGGAGGAAGAAAATGAAGTGTGTAACAGTACATAAAGTTGGGGTATATGTCCCTATAATTACCAATATGCCATTACTAGCGTCGAATTCTAAACCATTAGATCTTGTTTCTTCAATGGCCCAGATTGATTCTCATATATAAAGTATTCTCATATAAGGGAGGGGTTCTCACTAGAGCCTCTCTCTATATATATATGGGAGTTTTTTTCCGAGTTTTTAGAGAGCCACGTAGGATTTAATTTTCTTAACGCGCCATGTAGGTTTATAAATTTCAGTTATAACCAATCAAATAAGAGATTTGTATATTCTTTTAAAATTAAATAATTTAAACGCGCAAAATTGGCGAATGAGAATTTAAAGTTTGAATTAATTAAATATAAATATTATCTTTGATATTAGAAATTTTATCTAAATATATAACAAAAGAGAGGAAATTCACAATTTATTTTAAAATAAAAATATTAAATGATATATAACGTATAATGAATAAAATAACAAATTTTATTACCTACATACAAAAAAAAAAATTATTTTTAAAAAATACAAACAAACTGTGCATCGCACGCGCTTCATCTAGTTTATTTTAAAATATAAATATTAAATGATATATAAACATATAAAATAAAATAAACAATTTTATCACATACATACAAAACAAATAATTTTTAAAAAATAATACAAAAAAACGTGCATGGCACGGGCTTCATCTAGTATAATAATATATACGTAGTTTCATGTAATTTGTTAATTTATAAATAATTATAATTTAATTTATTTAATTTTGATTTAATTTGAACTTACCTATATAAAATACTAGATTCGCTCCTGATTGTGATCAATGCTAATCCAGCTGATCTTTTGGTGGCTAAATAAATATTTGAAAACAATCTTCTCGACGGGAACGAGCTTCTTGTCGTTAATTCGATGTTTATCACTGCCTTCAACGGCTGTGCTATATTGCTATAGCGGGTCTATACGCCGACAAAGGCCCTTCACCCGCCACAAGATGCTTCTCGCACAGGTTTTTCCATCGACCTCCGAAGAGGCTTTGAGGTTAGCTCGTACCGCGACACTCAATGCTTAGTACAACTTGTTGCTTCTCCAAGCTCATGATTATAGGCAGAGTTAACCACGACGACGAGGGTGAATAAGAAAGTTCGTCTAAGTTTGATTTCACAGATTTTTTTGGATTAGGTATAAATTTCTTATCTCTGCTCTTTTTTAATCCTAGAATTAGATATGTTTTCAAAAATCAGAATTAAAGGTTAGGTTTTCTGGGGTATTATGATTTATGTTATCATTTATCCTTTTGGTTGGATTAATTGTGTTAAATGCTTTGATAATATCTTTTCTATGGGTCCAAATTTCCCAAAAAACAATCTATAACTAATACTATAAATAACATGTCATATTGTCTATCTTAAAATTAGACACATGTCATATTGTCATTAAAAATTTTCCTCTAAAACTATAAATAACATCATCATTTTATGATTTTAATTTTTTTTAAAATTCTGGTCAGTATATTTATTATTAGTATTTGTATACACCTAAAAATGTCTCCTTAAAACCAAACTCGATGATGAATCTTAACTAAATAAGGGAATTGAAGTGTGGTTTTGAGGAGAGAGAGAGAGCGAATGGGTCACGTGAAGGTAAGGAGAAGGTGATGACAAAAGGAGAGGAGAGAGAGAGAGAGAGAGAGAGAGAGAGAGAGAGAGAGAGAGAGAGAGAGAGAGAGAGAGAACACAAATGTTGAAAACAGGAGTCGTGATGGACGGCTACCCGAGATGGACGGTCGTGCCCAATACCAGGGGGCAAAAAAGACATTTCCAACAAATCAACCTCAGTAACACATTAGTAGTTACCGTCTGTCAAAATAACAATCTCTCTCCTCTTACTCGATTTACGGTTGTGAAATTTCTCTCTTTCTCTCTACCTTGCCGGAATTCTCGTCGGGAAACTGTGCGAAACCCTAGCAAAATCGAAGCCAAATCTGTTATAAACTCAACGAGAAAAAAGGTTCCTGGTACGAAGAAGCAAATTTATGTCGAAATTCGTAATTGAATTCGAAATTTGTTGAAGTAGGAGAAGATCTGAAGTTGTTTAACTCTGAAGTCGAAATTAGTGATGCAAATCGGAATTCAGGAAGCGTTTAATGATTTCAGGTAAAGCAGTACTATCCAAATATAGATTTAATGTTTAAATTGTTATTAATTAGTTGTTGGGTAATGCTAAAATCTGAATTTTGTTATTTGTGGTAAGGTGTTGCTCGAAGGGGTGGTCGAAGGGGGAGAACGGCTGATTGAAGCTTTCGCCGGGCGTACTCCTGTCGAAAAGTTTAGGTGTTTTTTTTTTTTTGTTTTTTTTTTGGTTTTTGTTTTTGTGAATGGTAATTCTGAAAAGGTTAGGGTGGACGCCAGCATGTAAGGAAGTGTTGTTTTAATTTACATATGGCTTTTGAAATTAATTGCTCATAATTATGTGCTTTTCTATTTCAATTGGAGAGACAGAACATGTACCATATCACATTCGTCAAAAGATGATGCGGGATTTGGCAGCGGGAATGACATTGTCGAAGAAGCTCAAGGTGATCAAAGAAGATAGGGGTGATTTGAAGGGATTGACCACGGGGGAGGAAAACACTAATTAATTTAGTATGCGTGTGAAAAACTAAAATAAAATTGTTGGTATTTTCAGTAATTGTGTAACCGTCACTAGTAAGTTAATGTTTAATCTCAATGTGTTACGTAAAATTTGTAATGTTTAATCTACTAGTGTATTATGTTAAAAACACGTTTTTATGTAAAATATGGGAAATTATACATTTTCCAGACTAGTCATTTTAAATGCCAACTACTTCATTATTTTGGACTCAACCACTTCTTACTTTACTGAAAGCTTTTCATTAAATATATGATCTCAAATATGAATGTGTATAAAAGAGACAAACTATTAATGCATTTTGCTTCTCTAATATTAAAACATCATAAATATAGAGGTTAGCTTTCAATCGTGACACTCAATGTCAAGTAAAAACAACTTCTACAAAGTTCATTCATTCTCTATTCTACTCCACGTAAAAAAAAAAAAAAAAAAAAAAAAAAGAAAAAAAACAACAACAACAACAACTATAGTAGCCCAATAAAACAATATGTCTTCATCTTCTTCATCTAACCACACAGATAAAACCGGAGATAGTGAAGTTTTGGTGGGTTTACCACTCCTAATACAATGCGACATGATCATCAAGGGTGGTGACGTGGACGACCTAGGGTTGAAATACACTGTGGGTATTGACGAGCCTTTAGGATATTCCTACACTATGCTAAGGCAGCCGGTGTCGGACGTCCGACGAAGCTTCGGTTCTACAACCGAGGTTAACTCATTACGCCCACTGAGACACCATACCAGAAGGATTTCTGCAACAATGAGATAGTACTAGCTTATAACATGGTAAGTAAGCTTTGCAATGCGAAAATTTATGTTGTTACACTTATAAATGTAGTATTGTCCTCACATTATTGCATTTGGTTGCAGGAAGGCAAACGTGTATCAGTGAATCCAATTAGAGTGACCACGAAGGATCAAAAATATTTCCACATATCTGATTTATTTGATTGTTGAAATACCTTCCAGTTTAGGGCATGTAATGATACTCTAGTGATGAATATGTACGTTCGTTAGGGAAATGATAATCGGGTCGATCGATCCGCAAAGAGTGAGGCTTTGGCTAAATGGTGTGGACTTGGATGATAGTTTGACTGTGAAAGAAGCTCGAACAAGAAGGATTTGAAAGGCGCCGATATCACCACTTTCTTGTATTAACTAAGTTTTAACATAAGTAATTTCTACTTTCAACTAAATATTACAAATACCCTAAATTAAAGAATTTAACTTATATATATAACCTATTTAGATGTTAGTTGTTTGGGGTGAAATTACCCATGCCACGTGGCCCAATAGCAAGCTGACACGTGTTAGCCCCTAAGAGGCCCAATGAGATCCAATCGGATGCTGACACGTGGCAGAGTAACCCTAATAGGGGAACAAATCTTCCTCTACTATAAATAGAGGAAATTCCTCATTTATTACGATTCATGCACAGTCATAAATACAAAATACAAATAGCGAGCAATATTAATTGCAGAATCTCCCGAAATCCGAGAGACTATTTACTTTCCGCATCCTTACTCACTCAGACGTATTCTAACTTGATCGTCGGAGGCGGAACTCCAACCAACCGGAGTCTCCGTGCTTTTGCAGGTACAGGTGGTCGGTTACCAGTTCTGGTGTTGTAACTCTCCCGCAGGACACATAAAAAAACCCCGAAACATTGGCGTCGTCTGTGGGGTGAGTACTTCCAGAATGACATCCCATGAGTCTGTACCACTTAATAACGAGAAACGGCCCCTGGTCGAACCTAAGGTCCATACGGACCAAGATAGCGGCGACGACCAAGAGGTCGAAGCCTACATGGCCCCAGACGGGTCGTTCAGATCCAGGCGCCCCCGTCCCAAAGAAACTAGGGAACAAGATGACAAAGGTCTCAGCCACCTAACCGGCCAGCCGGCTGGGCAAGCCCAGACGGCTGAGGGTGCTGCCCCTGTAACCAGAGATGAGCTCATGAAATTCATGAGTAGCTTCAAAGGGGAAATCAGGGACCTGATAAGTAAAAAGGCAGGCTCCCACAAGGGTCAGTCGGCCAAAAATCCATCTCCTTCTGGGAAGAAGCCTACTCCGTCAGGGAGGAAGCCTTCTCCCTCTGGGAAGAAGCCGATGAAAGACTGGGTTTCAAATCCTCATCCAAAACCACATGGACCGGATTGGCCCATGATGGACCTCTCAAAATTTCGCTTCCCCGAAGCGGGGAAGAAGAAGCCCATCCGGCAAGTACATCCGGATGGGTCAAAAAGAACGTTCTCTAATGCTGGGATGTTCCTCCAGCAAAAGAGGAGTCAACAAATGTCTGAGTCGGCTTCAACGTTGACATTCACAGACAGTCTCCCTAATACCTCAATGGGGTATACGGAGACGAACCGAGAGAGTCAGTCCGGCGGCATGTCCGCCCGAACTGGCCCTCAGATTATCCAGCTAGCTCCGTATGTGCCCCAACAGCCATACTTGCCGTATGGATCTCCTTATACATAACCGGTCCTCTGTGGGGGTCAGGCGGCGCAAAATGTCCAACCTATGGACTGGCAGCTTCGACTGCTAAACCTTGGGGAACAGCCTTCGGCTTTCTCTAGGGAGATAACCGAGGCGGCTCAGCCGGCCAAGGTCAAGAACGTGTTGGTTGGTGCCTATGACGGTACCATCAACCCGGAAGATCACCTTATGGCGTACACCAACCTCATGTACTTGCAGGGGTTGGATGATGCCGCCTAGTGCAGATGCTTTCCGGCAACATTGAAGGGCATAGCCCAACGATGGTTTGGTAACCTGCCAGCTGGTTGCGTCAACAACTTTAAGACACTGGCATACCTGTTCGTGTCTAACTTCTCTATGAACATCCCGGCCAAGAAGACAAGTCTCGATCTGGGGGCTATACAGCAGGGAGATAGAGAAGGGCTGTGATCCTATGTCAGGCGGTTCAATCTGATGAGAATTCAGATTCAGGGACTGTCTGATGAAGTTGCTTACACAGACTTCTTCAAGGGCCGAAAAGACGGGTCGACCTTCAAGTTCGACCTAGTCAGAAAGAGGGTGGCAACCCTTCAGGAAGCCTTGATGGAAGCCGAAGCCTACATACAGGCAACGGAGCTCTATGCCGTCAAGCAGCCGTCGGACCCAAAAAAGTCCGACAAAAGGGACAGCCGGCCAGCTCAGCCGGTCAAATAAGAAGAGAGTAAAAAGAGAAAAGAAGTCTGGGTGGCTGACCACTCTGGCCAGTCATCCCAGAAGAAAAAGAAAGAGTTGAGACCGTACGTCCCTAAGTACGAGTTCAACAAGGGTTGCTCCTCCATCCTCATGGAGGTCAAAGACCGGTTGTCTATAGAGAAACCGGCTGCAATGAAGAGTCCCATCAAAAGTCGGGACAAGTCTAAGTTCTGCCACTTTCACGAGGACATAGGCCATGACACCAATGGTTGCTATAGCCTCAGGCGGCTACTGGACTGCCTGGCTGATGAGGGGGTTTTAAAGTCCTACCTTGTGAAGCCCAAGGGCAATCCTCGGGTAAACAATAAACATCCGTCCAAGAAGCCAGACAACCTTGCTATAAGCTCTGAAACTGATGAGGAGCAAATCATGACCATAGCAGGCGGCTTCGCCGGCGGTGGTCCAACTATCCGGGGCAAAAAAGATAACATCCGGAAGCTGGAGGTCAACTCAGTGGATGAGGGCCAGGCGTCAAAAGACACCTTCCCTGAGGTCATCATCTCAGAGAAAGACTGGGGCAAGGTCAGGCGGCCTCATGATGACCCCATAGTCATCGAGTGCAAAGTTGCCAACTAGCGAGTAGGCCGGATCCTCATTGATACCGGGAGCTCGTCTGACCTTATTAGCTGTAGGTGCTTGACAAAGCTCAAGTACAAACCTAGCAGCATGCACAAGGCCTCCCACCCCTTGGTCGGTTTTGGGGGAGGAGTGGTGCATCCGGTGGGAAGGATTGACCTACCCAACCGGCTAGGTGAAAAGGGGAAAGGGCGACATATGGTCGTCAAATTTCTGGTGGTCGAAGAATTGACCGCCTATAACCTGATTTTTGGGCCGTCCTACCCTCAACGAGCCCAAGGCAGTCATCATCCCGTCTTTCATGTTGCTGAAATTCGAGAGGGATGATGGGTTAGTAGGCTCCCTAAGCGGGGATCAGAAGGCGGCGAGAGAATGCTATCTCTCAGACGTCAAACCCACTGTGGTTGCAGCTTGCCAAAGTGGGAAGTTTGCTGACCTTGACGACGACCTTGATGACTGTCAAGAAGCCACCCCTGCTCCCAAGGCAGCCGACAAAAAGAGAAAGGCGGACCACTTAGTGGTCGTCAAGAAAGAAAAACAACAGCAATCACTGATCGGGGAACGGTCAGATGCTCTCCGTCCCCAGCCGGCTGGTGAAAGTATCGATATTGTTCTGGACGACAGTCAGCCAGAACGAACTGTGAAGGTGGGGACGGTTGCCTTTGAAAAGTTGGGTGCAGACTTGCACCAACTGTTGAAAGAATTCAAAGACATTTTTGCCTTTGAAGTGGAGGAGGCGCCAGGCGTAAGCCCGGATCTTGCTGCCCACAAACTCGCCGTGGATCCTAAGAGGAAGCCGGTTAGGCAAAAGAAAAGAAATCACGGTGAGGAAAGGTCTTAGGCGGCTGCCGCCGAGGTCAAGAAGTTGATGGATGCTGGGTTCATTCGGCAATGTTACTACCCGGATTAGGTACCCAACGTTGTTCTGATGAAAAAGCCGAATGGAACCTGGCGGATGTGTGTTGATTACACAGATCTGAACAAGGCATGTCCAAAGGATAGTTATCCACTTCCAAAGATCGACAGTCTGGTCGACTCTACAGCTGGTCATGCCTTGATGAGTTTTATGGACGCCTACTCAGGCTTCCATCAGATACCCTTGTGGAAAAAAGATCAAGAAAAGACGGCATTCGTCACTGATCAAGGGCTATTCTGCTATACGGTGATGTCGTTTGGATTGAAGAATGCGCCTGCTACCTTCCAGCGTATGATTAACACCGTCTTCATTAATCAAATTAGGAGGAACGTAGAGGCGTACATCGATGACATGATAGTCAAATCCAAGCTGCAAAAATCACCTTGCTGACCTTCGAGAAACCTTCACCACCCTCAGGCGGCATAAAGTCATGCTTAATCCAAAAAGTGCGTCTTTGGTGTTGAGTTTGGGAAGTTTCTCGGGT